CAGCAAGTGCTTGAAGAGATGAAGTTGCAGAAACTTCAGTGCTTTTAATCCCTGTTTCTCTCACCAAAGGTACCACTTGTATACACCAAAGTCACTGTATGCTCTGCTTGAGAGGGAATGTTTGGGAGAGATGGATTTGTAGTGGTGAAGCACATGATGCACTCGGGTTTCAGAAACAGTGACAAATATTTTGTGCCCCAGACAGACCTGTTTTTAGTGGACTGACCTCATAGCAGACAAGGCAGTGGGACAGGATGAAGCATAAAATGTACAGAAGGAAATAATCAGTAAACAGCTGAAAAGTCCTTTTTTTAACTGTAGGAAACTTGAACAGCTTCTTTATTCCCAACTTTAATCACAGGGATGGGAATTAAAAACCAAGGTGCTGATCAAAGGTAGTCTTCTCACACTTGCTGACAACCCAGCCCAACATGTCCTTTGCCCAGAATAGAGAGCATTTTCCTCATTAATCTTCTAAAATCCTCTAATATTCTCCTCTGACCAAGTCCATGAGTGGTGGAGTTTGAGGAGCTGAACACACCCTGTCCCTGTTGGGGGGTGACAGCACCAGCTCTCGTGCTCAGCACCCAACAAGATGTTCTGTCAACCAAGCCCAGCCTCATCAGAAGGTTCTCAACAGCTCTGAGAATGTTTTCTGTGGGAAGAATTCTTAATTATCCGGGAAAACTGCTGGATCAAGGGTCCAGAATAGCCAGGAGTTTGGGCACAGGGTTGCAAGCAGTGGTGAAATTTCTGCTCTAGCTGAACAGCAATATCTGCTCCACCTAAATGGCAATCTCCTGTACCCCTGGAGTGTCCTGATCCCAGACTACTGGCTCTGTGGGCAGCCCTAGCCCAGGCTTTGATCATTTGGACTCTGGAAAAACCCTCATGAGAAAGGGTTTGATCTACCCAAGCCAGACTTGCAAATGAACCACTGATCTTTTTTCTTTTTGCACATCAAATGTTTACAGACATGAGAGATGAGAGCCCTGACTGCTGCACCAGCAGCTCCTCTGAGACAGGAGACTTCAGCCCCTTCCATGCTGGAATGGGAATGGTGGAAATTACAGCATTTTTATAGCAGAGGGTCCTCGGTTTCCATCCAACCTTCCCCTATTTAATAAGAGATAAGTTCAATAAAACATTTTTAATAAGTTTTTAATAAGAGATTCCCTGCAGACATCACCAAAGACAGGGGCTTGGGATCCTCATACTTTGGTTACAGCCATGGGAGAGCTTATTTCATTCTCAAATATGAAACGGGTCTCATATTTTTTCTGGGGAGTCTTTTATATAAAATAGATCCTATTGGTGTCCAGAAAAAAAGAGAGCATTTAGTTTATAAAAATTAGGCAATGTGTTTTTATTTGTTTGAGAAGTCTCTGGTGGGAGTGTGATGAGAGCCCAGGGAGGGTTATTATGTACCTGGGCAGTGGGTCACTTGTGTTTGTACATGGCTAATGAAAACAGTCATCTGGAAGCCAATTATACTCATTCCCATATTATTATGTTGTGTAAAGAGCAAGGACATAACACTCTTTCTCTCATCTTTCTGATGTTTTCCATCTCTTTTAACAAGAGCCTTGCAGCAGATGCTGTCAAGAATTTTAATAAAACAAACTGCCTTTCTGACTGACTCCATCCATTTCTTCTTGTCTTTATAGGCTAAAAATATATTAGAGGGTGTAAGTAGGGAAATTCCTCTTCTCTCCAACTCCCTCCTCCCCATCCCTCTCTCTCAATCATTCTCCTGAGCATTGCAGGCTGGGGAGTTTTTCCTCTTGCAGGAAACCCAGAACACAAAGACCCCCAAAATGAATGAAAACATGAGATCGTAGAATGATAAAATGATTTGGGTGGGAAGGACCTTAAAGCTCATCACATTCCACCCCCTGCCATGGGCAGGGACACCTTCCACTAGCCCAGGATGCTCCAACCTGGCCTTGGACACTCCCAGGGATCCAGGGGCAGCCACAGCTTCTCTGGGCAACCTGTGCCAGGGCCTCCCCACCCTCAGAGGGAAGAATTCCTTCCCAATATCCCATCTAACCCTGTCCTCTGGCAGCTTGAAGCCATTCCCCCTTGTCCTGTCCTTTCATGCCTTCGTCCAAAGCCCCTCTCTGGCTCTCCTAGAGCCCCTTTAGGCACTGAAAGGCTGTGATAAGATGGAACAATTATCTTTGCAGTCCCAGAACAGGTGGGTGGAATCACCTTTTCCCCTCCAGAATAAAAGCAGCAGGAAGTGCTGCCCAGCTGCACCTGAGCCACCAGGCAGGGCTGAGGTTGGAGGTGCTGCAGTTGGGTTGGGAGCCCATCAGGACCTTCCTGGGGGAGAGGAGACAGAGCTGGGAGCAGAAAGGTAGGGAAAAACTGAGATTTTTCCTCTCTACCTCTCCCTGGAGTTCTTAGAGCCTTTGGTACTGATGTTTGCAAGTCCCCATGTCTTGTTTTGTGCAAAAGCATCTTGCTGGCACTTTGTGCTGCCCTGGTCTGTTGAGAAACCTCCCAGAGTTATGGTGGGATCTTCCACACCTCTGGTGCTTTGTCTCACACTAGTTTTGTGGGGTTTTTTATCTCAAAAGGATGGAGAGCTGTTAAGTACAATGTCCTGATCTATTTTGCTTGGGGTTGTTCTTATTTATTGTGTTTAAGGTACTTGAAGATACTTTCTTCTGGTTTTTTTCGCGGTGTTTTTATCTTGTATATCCTGCACTTGTGGAAAGAATTTGTGTAACTAAGAGATTTGTGAAATCTGATATTTGTGGATGCAAATAAGGTCACCTAATCATTTAAATACTGATGTGTTGCTGCAAAGCAGGGGTTTAGTGTCCCAGAGAGTGGTATTTTACCACATGGGGAGTTGTAGTTGTAAAACTGTGCCTGAAGTTCTTTGTGCCTTCGCTTCTCCAAGAGATTTTGCCTCTCACACAGAAGATTTAGGCTACAAATTTGCCTGTGTTATGATCAACTTTGAGTGCAGCCTTTGGGAAGGAGGAATAAAGGAGTTTTTGAGCCAGATTTCCTGGTGTAAGAGCATTCCCTGGGAGTCTGGTCCTTCATAGAGGTCGGGAGGGTCTGGCCCAAACAGAGACAGCAGCATTAAGAGGTTTTTGTGTTTTGATTTCCCTGAGCAACCTCTAGGAAGGTGAGCAGCACCTGGGCAGGGAATAATAGAGGCCAATCTGTGGCAATCTTCTGGAATAAACTCAATTTTAAAGAGAAGGCATTTTGCCTTGTAATAACATGCAACTAACACAGTTCTGGGGGGAAAACACAAATTTGATGCCATTTTGAAGAGCTGATCTATTCCCACCTACAAGACAAACATTTTCTAATGAACATTTTCTGTCTAAACACAAATAGTGCCTTGTGCCCAAATCATGCAAACACACAACTCTGTGTTTCAGGTCCCCTTGGGGACGCTGGCACTTTGTTCTGTGATGGAAATATTTGCTTCAATGGCAAGAAATTAATTTTAGAGTAGCTTATTATAGGCCACAAACCTTTTTAATAGTGATCATAAAGCTGGAAGAAAAGGAGAAGAGCCATGTCTCCCATTTGATTTAAAGCACATAAGTTGTTATATATTATTTATCATTTTATCCTCAGCATGGAAGGTAAAACTTGTAATCCATGGCCATCAGTAGCTCAGCAGCATTTGAAATCTCCAGCTGCATACGTTGGTGTGTTTTATTTTTCTTTTTTACACAATAAAATGTGATCTACAGTTGTTGCTAACTTCATATAGGTACTGATTTGGGACTTTTTAGTGTCATAAAACCTCTGAAGCAGAGACTCCTGGAATGTGAAACACTGACATAGTGCCTCTGGAGCACCAAAGCCAAAGCTGGCTGATGAAGATGGGTTATTTGTGGGCAGGTGGTGCCTGGAATCACAAACACTGCAGGCTTTCCTTGCACACACATAAAAATCCCCTGAACTTTCAGAACTCTATAAATGCTGAGTGTGGAAGAGACAGGTCTCCCCTCTTTGGGGGGGAAAAAATAAAAAGAGGGGAGAAGGAAATGCTCCTTCAGAGGAGTAAATACACTGATTTTTAACTCCTAATATTTCTCTGCAAATGGTTCCAGAGCTGCCAAAAGGCCAACTAAGTGTAATTTGCACAGGCTGCAGGGTGTTTGCATCTTGTTTAATCATTCAGCTCCATAAGTGCTGCAGGAATTGTTAACATGGAGCTGCTTGTGCAAAAGCTGCTGGAGGAGCCCTTTCACACCTGCAACAACTGTCTGAATCCAAGGATTCACCCCAAAAGCACTATGGGAATATATTATTTAATGTAAAGCCCTGGTCAAGCAGTTGCTTCTGGAACCACAGACTTCCAAAACTTTTTATACAGTATTACTTTTCCTTTAAAGCTGTGTCATACAGTACAAATAAATAACAATATCTAAACCAACACTCCTGCAAAACCAAAGTTCAATATAAGCTGTGAACTTGCTTTGTATTTTTCTTTAACGATTCAAATGAGCAACAGGGAAAACTTTTCCTTTTTAGGACTTACCTAAATTTTCCTGAAGATTGATGTTTATTGCTTTTACACCTTCAGCTGGCAGGAATTAGGTTAGGCTCTCATTACCCACTTCATCTTTTAATATGCTGTTGAAAGTCATATGAAAGTGCCAAAATTAGCACTGTCATCCTCTGTGTTGTCCGTTTTACTGCAGCACAGAGCTGTGAGAGACTCCAATAAAATACCTGTGGTGCCTGTTCCTGCACAGTCTCTCTGTTTGCCTCAGACCTCACATGAATACAAATTCATTATATAGGGGTTGTTTTTTTTTCTCCCAAGAACGTGCACATTTGGAACACCAGCCATTTACAGACACGCAGCATAAATAAAGCAGCGAATTTTCTTCCTCCTCTCCCCGTTGTGCTGATGAAAATCACTGAGGAAGGAGAGAGAAAAAACCCACCCCAGCACAGGCAGCTCCCCAGCATCACTCACACTGCAGCAGACAGCACGATTCTGTACTTACACAGCTGAGCAGGGAAATGTCTCAGGATCTTTACAATTTTCTGCAGGACTGTTCCAGGCTCTCAGCAAGGCACAGCGTTCATCCAGGCAGAACGGAGCCGTATGGAAGGTCTGTGCAGCTGGGAGATAATGGAACTGTTTTCCCAGCTGGGACTACGAGCCTTTTATCCACTGAGCATTGCGTGGCTCTTCCCTGGAATTAACCGTGACACACACGGCTTTCCCGGGGTGTGCTCCAGCCAGGACCCACACAAAATCAGTGCTTCAGGCAGAGATAAACAGCTCCTACAGCTTTTGCATATTCCTGTCTGGAAATTTGGGGTGGGTAAGAATCAGCTCTGCGTTGCTCATCCTTGGAGAAAGCTGAGCGAGCGAAAGTGCAGCTGTCGGACCGGGAGCATGAAAGATTAAATGTGCTCTTGCTGTTCCTCTCCTACAAATATGAGCTCCTGTCAGGTAATCACAAGCCACTTTCCCCAAAAACTGGGTCAGGACTCGGTTTTAGGCTCAGATGAGGAATGGAAATGATTTTGTTTAGTCCTGGGTCTCGCTGAGCTCATAGGATGAGTTGTCACTCAGATCCCATCCCAGCACTGCCTGACCTCATGAAACATTTACAAATTTTACATATTTAAACAAAAAAAAAGGGGAACTTGTTTGTTTAAAGCGGCACAGACATCGATTTTGATAACAAGTGAACTTCAAAACTTCTTAAATTCCCATTTTCCCCTCTTAGGAGTTTTTCAGAAGGGATCAAATGCGGAGCTCAGGCAGGGGAATGTCCTTCTGTTAGTGAGCAAAAGTTGTTTGTATCATAGAATCACAGGATGGTTTGGGTTAGAAGTGATCTTAAAAATCATCCAGTGCCACCTTCCACTAGCCCAGGTTGCTCCAAGCTCCATCCAGCCTGGCCTTGGACACTTCCAAGCATGGGGCAGCCACAGCTTCTCTGGGCAACCTGTGCCACCACCCTCATAGGGAAGAACTTCTTCCTGATATCCAGGAAACAGCAGTTTTTTTGAATATTTCTGTTGTGAAAAGTGCAATTATGCCTCAGACGTTTCTTCACGACACTTTTATGCAATCTTGGTGTAAATTCCTTAGTTTGGGATGGGATTAAGTGCCTGCCTGCCCAAGCAATGGCAAGTGGAGGGGCTGTCTTGGTCTGATGTTCATTTGCAAAATGGGGACCACAGGGCTGTGGGATCTCCTGGGATGTGCCCAGAAGTGCCAAGCAGCCCATTCCATCCCCATGGTGAGCTCTCTCCTCCCATTCCAGAGCTCTCATAGCCATCCTCCTGATTAACATAAACAATTTTCCACTTCCATCCTGTGAGCTCCTCAAATGAGCTTTACCGACAATTAATTAAGCCTCCCAGCACCTTCTAAAGGAGATAGGCATTATAATTAGCAGCTCTATTTTTAATTAGGAATGAAATTTAAAATGGAATTTTAGGTATTTCCTCATTAAAAATTTCTTTAAAATAATTAACAGGGCTTTTTCTAAGTGGTATCGAGAGTAAATAGACAAAAAGTTGCTTGCAACAGATTTAACCTGAGTTTCTCCTCACCAATTTTAAAATTTTTTTAAAAATCTAGTCAAAATAAATTATTTTGCTTATGCATTTCTTGTCTAACAAGAGTGGGAACAGAATTTCTCAGTTGCTGAGGAAATTAATGCTGTTAAAATTTTCAATTTCCAACCAAGAATAGAGGGAAGTATTTTAGAAATGCTTCTTTCAAAGGTTAATTGTTCATTTCAAGATCTCTGTGAAGGCAGGCTGAGGGTTGGGGTTACTCAACCTGGAGAAGAGAAGCTTCTGAGAGGCCTTAAAGCCTCTTCCAGTGCCTAAAGGGGCTCCAAGAGAGCTGGAGAGGGACTTGGGACAAGTGACAGGAAGCCACTTCACTTTTGCCACGTCAGAACAGGTTTCAAAGCTGTGTGTCCTGGTTCTGACCTGTGTGGGAGATGCTCCAAATAGGAGATGCTCCAATCAATACCTGGCAGTTTATCTATAATGGAACTGGAAGCTCTTTATCCCCAGGACTGGAATAGCGGCCCTGGCTGGAAATAATTGAACAAGGAAATTTAAAAAGTATAAGCAAAGAGGAGAATGAAGGCTTTTATTGAAGTTGTTTTTGATATGTCTGGTGGTGTTACTGGATGCAGTTCGTGTTTTGACAACACGGACAGGTGCAATTGTCATTGAACAGCCTTTGTTATCAAGACAATTACAGTGACTTTCATTCTACGTTTTTTTTGTGTTTTCTGCAGGGTTTTGCGTGGAATGTGGTTTTTTGGTTTTATTTTTTTTTCTATGTGTTTGTTTTGCTATTTTTTAATTTTTTTTTTTTAAAGAAAAAAGCCATCTGAGAAAACACCACCTGTGTGCATTCAGATTTTTAGGGTTGTGTTTGTGATTGTACCTTGCTGGACGTGAGATATCATATAAGTGGGTCACATTTTTGCATTGATTTACCTTGAGGGAGAGAAAAACTAGGAGCACAGAGCCTGGGAACTGCAACGAACTTTCATTTACTTCAGCTCCCAGTTGTGCTGGATGGTCAGAGGATCAATGTCCACCATCTGTGTGGGGGAGAAGACTCCACAGACATCCCTGGCTGGAAGTGCAGGGTACCAGATGTCACCTAATGGGGATCAGCTGCAAGGAGTCATTCAGCTGTGAGTTAAAGAGCTCAGAAAACCAGACTAAAATAGAATAATTCAGCAGACCTCTCAATTTGCAGAAGTCACTGTAGCTGCACATGAAGTCACTCCTTTCAAGCAGGGCTTTGTTTTATCTCAGACTTGGCGGCTGTTAGAGGGGAGAGACAGAGTGAGAGATCACGGCCTCAAGCTGTGCCAGGGGAGGCTCAGGTTGGACATCAGGAGGAATTTCTTGCTGGAAAAGGTGGTCAGACACTGGAAGGGGCTGCCCAGGGAGGTTTGGAGTCCCCACCACTGGAGTTGTCCATGGAAGGACTGGCTGTGGCACTCAGTGCTCTGGGCTGGGGGACAAGGTGGGGATGGGGCACAGGGTGGATCCATGGGCTGGGAGGGCTTTTCCAACCTCAGGGATTCTGTGTAGGGTCATGTTTTGGGAAGTGTTTGCAGAGTTTCCTATTCCCTTCTGCCAGCATAAGACCATCTCCTGGTGGCACTGCCAGTCTTTGTGATCCACGTTTTCCATCATTTTCATGAAATTGTTGCAGCTTTCATAACACTGACTAATACCATTTGTTCTCAATGTATTTATTTCCCCTTGTGTGTTCATATTTCTGCAAGTCCCCAATGACTCTGGATCATTATTTTATTTCTCTAGTCAAGGTATAGTTTTTTTCCCAGTCCTCTGGGAGCCCCAAATGTCAGTAGGTACCACCCTGTGCTGTTCAACAGAGTCTTACAAAACTCATTTATGGTACTTCTAGGAGACCTTCTTAGCTCTTCCTCCTCATACATTTTGCATTTTCCATGTTATATGTCATTATCACAATGTAAGAAATTGTAAGTAATTTCTGTTCTAATACTGAGCATTAATTCTTGAATTAATGAAATGGGAAAGGATGTGCAATTCCTGCCAACCTGCCTTAGGACACCCTGTTCCATTTATTCCTCAACAGTTTCCTGCAGTCCTATTCCACTTGTACCTTGAATTCCATGGGGCATTTAAAATTTCATATATTAGGCACTTTTGCCGGATATTCATCCCCCATCTTGTGTTTTGTATCAATTTTACTTTTGAAAACAATGGTTTTCTGAGGAAAACTGGGTCTACAAAAGCTGAGAAGTCTTGGCTGGGGAGTTTTTCTGCTGATTTATGTGCACTCAAATCAACTCTATAGTTCTTAAACTTCCCACCTTCCCTGAGAAAAATCAAATGTTGCTGTGCAAGATGAGAATTACCTTTGAAATCCATTTTTTATCTTGATTTTTAATATGTTGGGGGAGGGGTGACTAATGCTCAGAGTGAAAGCACATTAAAGTCAAATGTGCAAGTATTAAAGCTAGTGAAAATTGTACATTATTTTAAGCCTTTGCACCTATATTTGTAGTTGAATATCTAAATAATAAGGGCTTAATATCTACTCTGAGCCACAATCTCAGCTCCTCTCTGAGGTGAGGTCCTGTCAGTCTCCTTCCCTCAAACCATAGAGGTCTGACCAACCCATTTAGGGCAAATAAGCCTGAAAAAGAGAGAGAAGTGCTCAGAAATCTGCTGTGACAGGATGGGAATCCCTGAATCCTCCTCTGTGTTGGGGCACTGATGGGCTTCAGGGGCTTCAAACAGAGTGATGTGGAGGGCCACAAAATTAAAGGAGATTTTGGTGGTAACTGGAGTAGGTTCTTCTTCAGGTTCTGCAGTAAAACTTTACACCTGTAATACCCATGTAGAGTTGTCTTTGTAATCTTATTTTGACTTTTTTATAGACAGTATTGTCATGGAGTTGTGACTTGCTTAAATATCTGCTTAAATATCACAAGGTGGGCAGGAGGTGGGAAGAGAGTTTGGTTTGGATTCCAGGAGCAGCCCTGCCCAGAGCTGGTCTGGGAGAAACCATTCCACAGTCTCCAAACCTGAGTGGATCCATCTCCCTGTGGCTTAGTGCCTGTCCCTCCCAAATTCTAGCAATTAAACCTTTGCCCAAGAGACAGAACTCCAAATTTCATGGGAGTCTTCTATGATAATTTTAATGTCAACGTGTCCTACCTGTTGATGAGCTTGGTTCCATTGCCTAAATACAGTCAGCATGTTTCTGTATTTGCTTTTCTAGAGGTTATAAATCAACCTCCCAAAAAAGCACAAATCAAACAAGAAAAACCCCCTCACCAATGAAAATATTATTTCACTCACATCAGGAATGTGAAAGGCAGCAATGATGCTTTAATTGCCAGGATTTACTGGCTAAAACTTGCTGAAGGATTGAATGTGAGCTGTAATGGTCAGGAGTTGCATCAAGGAAGGGTCCATCACCAATAAGATATTGAACCAAGCATCTGCTTCCCTGCTCTCCATCTGGAGCAGGAGTGCAAGGAAGCAGGTGATTGTGGGTTATGGAGACACAGGTTGGGGATTGTTAAAAATGAAAATAATAGGGACAATAATGTAGCTACACTTGACCAGGTAAATGACTTAGTATTATAGTTAATAGTAAGGTATTTGGAATTAAAATCTACATATGCTGCATTGTAATCATAGTTCCCACAGAGATAGATTAAAAGTGGATTAAAATGAGCAAATATATTCATTTTTCTATGTGATTTTTGAATCCTTTAAAGACTTGCCTCTCACTGCTCAGCCTATTTCAGTCCTGGAAGAAAACGCTGGGTGTAAACTTCAAAACAAATGTGTCTTCATGTAAAAGAAGGAAAGAAAAAAAATATGGATATTTGCTCAGGAACCGTAATGCCAGGACAAGGGGGAATGGCTTCAAACTGAAACAGTTGGGTTGGATGGGATATA